TCTCTCTCTCTCTCTCTCTCTCTCTCTCTCTCTCTCTCTCTCTCATTTATTTTTAAATTTATTTATGCAAATAATTGACACCACCAACTTAAATAAATAGATAAAAATCCAAATAAATTCACAAAATCATAGATAAATTCATAAAAATATAGAAATATTATTAATATCAATTTTAGCTAAAATCAATTTTAATTTAGAATTTTATTTATCATACAACATACTTTGCTAAATCTTACTCAAATAATTTATAATCTATAAATTCTAAAACACACTCACTAAACTACTAAATATTGGAACTTCACTTTGCATCCTTAAACAGGTTGAATTAAACATCTTAAGATTTTTCAAGTTGCAAATGTTCCAAGCTAGTTCAATGGAACTTGTTATCATCTCCATATTTGCGGATAATTAATTAATCTAAGAGTAAGCACTTATATAAAATCATTCTATGACATCATATAAGATTTACATGTTATCATAAAATTATTAATAAGCTGCATATTAGTCACATAAGTTCATTTGATCAACAAATCAAATTATAAACAAAATGAAATTATTCCTCTTCTTTGATTCATACACTAGATTATTCGGGAATCATTCAAAATCTTCATTTGTATCTAAGACAACCATCTTTCACTGTCAAGCCCTTTAACATCTAACATCCCACCTATCTATTTGTTTGATGTACCATAAATGGTAATACTTCAAGCCACATATTTCATGATGATCACTTGTATATTTTTTTCTATCTATGTAGTTATTTCTTTAGCACCCAAAATCATATAAATAAAAAGTAACAAGGCCATTTATGATCTCTCCTTTGGCGTACTTTTTTTCTCTTTCCTTTAGATTATCACACCCTGAGACTTATAGATCAAGTATGTATTCAATTCTTTGTACAATTGATGCTAGAAATAAAATTCACAAAACCTGTCTCTTGGTTTTCGGGTTCCTTGGATTCGTGCGTCTATCTTCTCTTTGCAATTTCTTCTCTCTCATCTCTAAAAGTATGATTCTGATACCACACCTTAGACAAATTTGAATCCAACATGTAGTTGTTTTCTTATAGTAGTATTTAATAGAAGTATAAATTTTAAGTCAAATAATTAATTGATATCATCACCCTATAATATATATACTAATAAACTAACAAGAACTGAAAACCCAAGTAGCATAACATTGTTCTTATTCTTTTGTATAACAAACATACTTCCACTTTATTTATTATAAACCACAACATATAACAATCAAATCCAAAAGCACTCTTAGAACACAAACCAACCCTCTTTATTATCACATAACAATTCCAAACTCATTCTCACTCAAACAAACATAGGATTTTTAAGCGTAGGTTCCAGGATTGGCTGCAAGGAATTCTTCCACTGCCTTGACGCTCTTGATGAAACCTTCCTTGGCCTTCTTGATGTCCTCAGTAGAATCAACGCCAGGGAGAGCCTTATAAGTCCCTGTCAGCTTAACAATGGAGCCAGCGCCTTTTGGTTCGACTTTGAAGTGTGAAGTTGCAGACTCGATCTTCTTTCCCAAATCTCCACCCTCCACAACAGAAATTTTTAACTCGAACTTTTCATGATCGATGAATTCAAGACGCTCCTTTACAAAGCTAAATGGCACCACTGCATATAACTGGGGTTAGGATTAGCGCTAGAAGGTTAAGGAAGAAGAAGAGAGAGGTGCAAACCTGTTGTAAAATTGACCTGCCTGATGCTTCCTGCGCTGCCATCTCCAGAAAGTAAAGTAACACCAGTGATAATTTCAGGGATGAGCTTAGGTCCAAGATTATGCCAATCAGTGAACAAGGCCTTGAAGAGGGCTGCCGCTGGGGCTTTGGTCTCCACCTCCACTGTCCAGCTTGAGCTCATCTTTCCTGACTTAGTTTTTTGTGTGTTTCTTAGCTTGTTTTAGCTTGTTTCTGATGCTTTGTTCAGCTAGTGGATGTTCATAGAGTGTGCTATGGTTGAGCTTTTATACTGGCTTATGAGTGGGACCTGTCTTCTAGATTTTGTAATATTTTTCAAAGGCAGACAACGTGAGTGAATGAACAATTGACTAAAATGTTTGAATGTGAAAGAGATAGGCACTTCTGAACAACAAATGAAGATAGAATTTTGATGACAGTGTTTGATTATTGTTTCTAGACTTGTTTAAAGTTGTGAGGAGAAAATGTGTAGTACAAGTCTTTCATAGACTATAACTATTGCTTTATTACTAAGCATCAGATGAGAAAGTAGTTTAAAAATCAAAGATGATAATGACAATGTTATCTCTTAGATATCTGCACCATTCCTTGTACTATAGGAAAATTATTTATTTCTAGCGAATTTTTTCGTCCGAAATCACCAAATTTCTGTAGGTAATTCGCACGAATTTCTAATGGAAAATTTTTGGACTGTAAAACGTGTGTCGGAAATGTTTTAAAGGCGAAAAAAATCTACTGGAAATGTTTTCCATTACAATTTTAATAGATTATCATTAATAGGCTTAGAATACATTGAAAACCAAATCCCAATATTTGGAATTAAATAAAGAGATAAATTAAAATTTGATATTTATTTACCATAATTTGTCATCTTATCTATATCTCCATTAACATATTTAATACATTCATCAAATTAAAATAAAACTAAATCTTATAACAAACATTCAAATACTATAATCACATGTCAACATTCAACACCTAAGTTCTGAAATATGACAAATTATTTTTCCACAAAGTCATATTTATGACCAAAAATAATAATTAAAAATTTTTAATTCCTTTTTTACTTTCCAAAAGACTTCCAGAAGATCCATTGAAGCATTAATGTATCTGCAAGCAGGCATGTGGGCGGCCTCTTATTTCAACAGATAGCACGCCTGTTGCTTTCTGCTTTGATAATTCCATGGGCTATGTGTCTTCATATTTTCTGATAAAGAAAATTCATCAGTAGATTTTGTTTAATGCTAGACTTTAGATATAGCACTAATGAGATTATGACGTAGATCTCAATAGATATGATTAAGGCTTTGTTTGTGACAGCTATTTTATTGTTTTATAAATCAATTTTTTATGTAAAATTTTCTAGTTCAAAAAAATTTTATATTAAAAATTTGTTTTAAAAAGCAGTGAGAAAGTTGCGCCAAATAAAGCCTAAGACATAAGTGATAAAATGACTGTATGTTTGAAAAAGCGTCGTTGGCTTAGTGATGAGAATTGTGGATTTATGCCAATAGAGAGGCTAACTTGATGTTTGTGTAGTCTTTACATGTCTTGTTTGCTCTTATGCTCTTCTTGAAGTGACTTTCTAGATGTATAGTTGTTAATGGGGTTGCCATGGATATATAGAAAGATGATGGGGGGAAGGAGAATGTCTGTTGGAAAATAAACCATACAACGAACACAAATCAGAAAGAGTAAATGCAACAAATAATAAATTGAGTCAGGATTTAACCTGAAAAATTGAAAATCGAGGAAGAACCACGGAGCCCACCACACCAAGAAATTCACTATGAAAATTTGAGAGAAGCAGTACAAATTGATTTTTGCTCACTCTCTTCTTGTCTCTCTTAACTTCACAATTCGCTCACTACACATAATAGAGAAAGAGACACACGTAACTTACACCAAGGGATGCAACCCTTCAAGTTAAATATTAAAAACGAGAAAGAAAATTGCCCAACCCGATTCACAAAGCTGTGACATCAAGTTTGGAGTGTCATTACGCTTCACTCTCTGTCTCTAGCCATACTAGTAGCGCTATAGCATCGGGGTTTTGAAGTGACACGTCGCGCCACTCTCTATCTCCAAATCAGTACAAGTGTACAGTGTCATAGTGCTTGAGTGTACAGTGTTATGGCGCTTCAAGGTTGTACGACATTGCCCCCAAACCCAAGCAGGGGAAGCCCATCCTCCCGTAACTCACTTCCTATAAACTATGCTAAATTATTATTCATTGGAATATTCATGATAGAAAAGAAAGACTTTATTATGGTATCATCAATTGAAAATACATCCTCTTGACTTACATTTTTTTACTACACTTATTTTAGGATGTTGATGTGAATGTAGTTTTGAGGCTATACTGAGGGGACGGCTTATTACAATTTTTGTACGAAAAAACTGTTTTATGAAGCATTAAGAAAGTCGTCCAAATAAAGCCTAAGGATCAAGTGTGGTTGTGACATAGGTTAGGAAAAGCATAAACAACTCAATGACTTAACATTCATGTAATGTTTGCTAATGGTCTTAATAAGGTTTGATAGAGTTTAGAGGAAATGTGTAGCCTTTGCATACTTTGCTTACTCTTATACCCTTATCAAATTGATCTTTTAGGTGCATTATTGCTAGCAACACATCTTGGATATATAGAAAGATGATGAAGAGGAGTTGCAAACCACTACAATGCCTTGGGCGTTAATATGAATATTTGTTTGAAGTTGTAATTAAGGTTACTCCTTATTCTTGACTTGATTCCCTCAAGAATGACATAATATGAATGGTTGAGGGAAATAGTTGCATGACTGTGACTATACTTAGGATGTTGATATAAATGCTCTTATGAGGTTGCAGTCAAGATTTCTCTCTAATGTTAACTTGCTCCAATAGAAATGAAACATCAACAAATGATAGATAAAAATTGTTGAACTAATTACAATTAGGGGTGTCAATTTCGGGTCACTGGCCGGGTTCGAATCGAACTCAGAACTGATATGGCACTATTCGGGTTAGCTCGAACCCAACCCGTTTTTACAAATAGTTCAGTTTTTTGGACCCGAACATGACCCGCTTCGGGTCTAGGTCAACACGACACGACCCGAATGACTCGGGACTTACTAAAAATTGCTAATTTTCAGTTCAAAAACTGGTCAATATCTGATTTTCTCCGATTTCTGGGTCAAAACAGGTTTTTCAGATAAAAAATTGGTCAATTTTGGATTTCTGGGTCAACTCAAACCTGACCCGAATTTTAAAACGGGTCAATTTTTTGAACTCGAACCCGACCCCTTTCGGGTTCGGGTTTACTCTAACTCGGAATATTCGAGTCAAGTTCGAGTCGAGTTTTCGTGTCATGTCAAAATTTGACAACCCTAATTACAATCATGTTAGAACGTTACCGTGAATGTCCTTTCGAAGCTAGCAATAACCATTAACATTAAAAAAAAAAAAATCTCTCTCTAAGATTGAAAGGTTAAATTTGTGTCTCCATACTCACCCAAAGAAGAGTATTACGAGGAGCATTCTATTCGACGGTTTATAATAAAAAGACAAATTAAGTGTGATGCTAAAAAATAATAATACTTTTGAATATTTGTAAAATAAAAAGGTCAGAGATTTCATGGCAAGGCTTTGAGTTGCACTTCTCAATATATCACAGTTTCTTCATATACATCTCTTGAGAGAGACCATTATCATCAAGAGAGGATCAAATCCATCATGTTTTGTTAATCATGATGTGCTATAGGAGAAGTTTATAATAATTCTAGATTATGATTTAGGATCTATGCATGCACAAAAGTAAATGATATTATAGTTTAAAGTATTTGTGCTTGCCAATGAGCACAACATGCATGTGATGGTATTAAGAGATTTGAAATCTAGTTTATGATATTTAGCAAGGATTACTCTTATGAGTTTAGGCTAAAACAAGGAAAACATTCATTGTGTTGAACTTGTCATTGTCAAGCAAACTTCTCAGAGGTTGAATGAATTTGATTTATGCTTTATTTGGGACGGCTTTTTTATTACTTCTTAAAGTAACTTTTTAGTACAAAATATTAGTTTTTGTTCTAAAAAGCTGCTTTAAGAAGCAATAAGAAAGATGTCTCAAATGAAGACTGAGGCCAGTGAACCATAATACTATAGTAAAAGTATTTATATACCATCATATAGGTGGTCTCCAAATCATCTTGGTTGAGAACATGAATAAGCCTATGAAAATTAATGTACAATCATTTTAGAGTTCAATTATTGTAGAACTAAAGTTGGAATAATGCTCACTATTTTATTTTTATTTAAATTGATTCGTAGGTCAAATTGCTCAAGTTTGATTTCTTTTTTTTAATAGTACTACATTGCTTTATTTATAGTATAGTAAAATGATTTATTAATAGGTAAAGTTAATATTAAAAATTTGGTGTAATACATAATCATAAGTGTATTAATTTTGTTGGAGGATTTTTATGCAAACCCAATGTTTTTGAACCGGATCCGACCGGCCAGTTCAACCGTTAACCTATTTAGTTTTTGTTCCGGACAAGTTGGAAAACCAAATATATATTGAGCCGGTGCGAATCAATTTGAATCGTCAGTTCAATCGGAAAACAGTAGAACCGGCCGGTTCAATAAATATTATTTTTTATATATATAAAATTTTTATTTAATTAAATTTTTTGAAATTTTAAATTTATATTTAAAGGCATATGTTTATGCAAATAAATTTATCAATTAATATAAAATTGCTACTATCTTACCAGAAAACAAACTCGCCCCAACGGATCCTCTTCTGATCCCGAACTAGAACCATGGCTTCTAATTGACCAAAACTTGGTAGATGCTCTCCTCTCCATGATTTCACCATCGGTGCTTCCCTATGTTCTTCATCTTTTAACCACAATAGAAATCTGGAGCACTTTAGCTAGTCGTCTTCAACCAACTAACATGTCAAGAGTTATACAGCTTAAAAACGAGCTGCACAGTATTCAGATGAAAGATTCAACAATGACACAATACCTCTCTCGCTTAAAGTAGCTATTCGACAACATTGTCACCGCTGGATCGCACGTTGACAACGAGGATATAATCTTATACATCCTTAATGATTTGCCACCATCTGCACCATACAGCTACACTTCACCTTGGATACTATGTAGTCACTTCTATGCAGTGAAGAGATTCACGTCAGTAATTAGCTTCAACATGATCTCTCTAGCCACTGAAAATATGGCTCTCTACTCCGAAAGGGGAAGATACAGTTGAAACAGAGGAAATTTCAGTGGACGAGGGTACTCTCTAAGACAACAAAACAATAACAATCGTCCTCAACCAACTACTAATAATCATTGTCTGATTTGCCAAAATTGTGGCAAAACAGGTCACATAGCTCTCAATTGATGGCATAGATACAACCTAAACTATTCACTATCAGGACCTCTTCAAGCACTTATCTCTCAACCATCATGAAAAAATACCACCACAACGGACTGGTACTTGGATTATGGAGCTTCGTCACACTTAACGTCCGATGCCATTCATCTGCAACATCCCTTACCATATGCAGGCAGTGACAACATCTCCATTGCAAACGGTACATCTCTTCCAATTCACTCAAGTGGTCAAGGTCTCCTTCCCCTACCCAATACCCCATGTAAGTTATATCACCAAAATCTACTTCATGTCCCTTCTTTAACTCATAATCTAATCTATATTCACAAGCTTACAACTGACAATAACTGCTCTATCTGTTTTGACACCTTTGGCTTCACAATAAAGGACAATATGACCAATCAACCAATCCTTAGAGGTCGAATGCGTGATTGTCTCTACGTCATTCCATCTCCACAAAATTTTGCTCTACAAAATCCCAAGACTTCCACATCTCTTTGGCATGCAATATTGGGACATCCGCGTCATCAACTTCTTCAGTTCTTAGCTAGGCAAAACTCTACTATATGTCTTTGGCATGCAATATTGGGACATTCGCATCATCCTTAAATGGCTATAACTACTATGTTGTGTTTATATATGATTTTTCTCATTTCTCATGGTTATACCCGATGCACACAAAAGCTGAAACAACTCTGAAATTTCAACATTTCTTAAACATGGTTAAAACTCAGTTTAATGCTCAAATCAAAACACTGAGATCTGATGGTGGTGGTGAGTATATATCTTACAAATTTAAAAATCTTTTGTCTCAACATGACATTCAACATCAAATGAGTTGCCTCTACACTCCTAAATAAAATGGAACTGCTAAGCACAAACATTATCCTCTTATTGAGACAACCCACACACTTCTTCATGCTTCTCATCTACCTATCAAATTCTAGTTTGAAGCTCTTCTAAAAGACAATTATCTAATCAATAGACTTCCTTCCAAAACTCCCCATCTAGACAATCCATATAATCTCTTGCATAGCCACCAACCCTCTTACACCCATCTCCAAACATTATGTTATCCTTGGCTACGTCCACTATCCCCAAATAAACTTCATCTCCGCTTAGTTGCATGCATTTTTCTTGGTTACTCATCCTCACATAAAGGATATCGTTGCTTCAATCTTCAAACAACTAAAATACACATTTCTCGTCATGTTGTATTCCACAAAGACACTTTTTCTTATCTTACTCCAACTCAACTTACCTCCTCAATTCCTCACAAAGATATACAATTGCCTCTTACTCTCATTCCAATCTCCACCATAAATACCTCACCTTCACCATCCTATGTGCCTATTACTCATCAAAACTCCACTAAATTATCCTCATCCATTACCACCTCTTCCCCCACTTCATCTTCACCCGAACATCTTCCCTATTATACAACAGCTAATACACATTCACCCACCTCCAATACTCCTCCTCCTATACCTATCTCCCATCACCCTATGCTAACTAGATACAAAACTAACCACTTAAAACCAAAACAACACTTCGATCTCCTAGCCAAATCCCAAGCTCCCTTGACTCCAACCTGTTACACTCAAGCAATCAAGTCACCGTCATAGAGAACACCATTGTCTGATGAATTCATAGCTTTACAAAAATAGGGAACATGGTCCCTTGTTCCACCACCCCAACATCATAACATACTCGTCTGCCTATGGACTTATCGCACCAAACTCAAACCAGATGGAAGTGCTGATAGATACAAAGCTCGCTTAGTAGCTCAAGATTTAACTCAAGAATATGACATCGATTACAAAGAAACTTTCAATCCAGTTGCCAAGATGCCCACAATTCGAATCTTACTCACAATTTCTCTCACAAGAAGGTAGCCGGTCTTCCAACTAGATGTTTCAAATGCCTTTTTGCATGGCATATTACAAGAGGAGGTCTACATGAAACAACCACCAGGTTTTGCTGATGCAACTCATCCAGATTATGTATACAAACTTCACAAGTCCATTTATGAACTTAAACAAGCTCCAAGACAGTGGTTTCAAATATTCACATATTTTTTACAATCTCTCGACTTCCGGTTCAGTAAGTCTCACCCATCTTTATTGCTCAAATATACATTCTTATGTATGTGGATCACATTCTTATCTCAGGCAACAATGATAGTTGCATATTAGATTTAATCACCAAGTTACTGTCAAAGTTCTCTTTAAAAGAACTTGGTCCCATCTCATTCTTCAAAGGAATCCAAGTGCTTCACACACCAAATGGCTATTTTCTTAATCAATCGCAATATGCTCAAGACATTCTACAAGTTGTTGGCTTCACACAGTGCAAATTAGCACCTACACCAATAGCCGCTAAATCTATTTCAATAGCCAATAATTCATTTAGCTTCGATCCAGTCTTATATAAGAAAATAGTTGGATCACTACAATTTCTTACAATCACAAGATCACTAAAATTTCTTACAATCACAAGACCGGACATAAAATTTGCTACAATTTTAGTTTTCCAACATATGCATAAGCCAACTGAGCATGCTCATCACACATTGAAAAGACTTATTCGCTATATCCAGGGAACACACCATTTTGGTCTTCCTATTACTCGCGGAGACTTACAACTACGATCATTTTCTGACTCGGATTGGGCATCTGACCTATTGGATAGAAAATCCATTATTGGCTTTTGCACTTTTTTAGGCAATACTCTTGTATCAAGGTGTGTGAAGAAACAAATTTCTATTGCAAAATCATCAACTGAAGCAGAGTATCGCTCTCTAGCATCTGCCACTTTAGACATTGTTTGGCTAAGAAGACTTCTCAATGACTTTCAAGTCTCCACATCCTCTCCTACCACACTCTCGTGTGACAACACCTCTGCTCTTGCCTTAGCCAATAATTCAGTCTTTCATGCTCGGACAAAGCACATTGAGATTAACTACCATTTCATCAGAGAGCGTATTCTCTCCAAAGAAATTTCTGTTCAACATATTAATTCTCTTGATCAACCGACTGACATACTTATCAAACTGTTGTCTTCTCATCGCTTCAAGTTTCTTAGAGACAAACTTACAATTCATCCAAATGAATCATAAGTTTGCAGGGGACTGTTTGCAAGCATGATAAGCTATACAAATAAGCAAGTCTTCCTATCAGCGACTGCATGCTCCACTACCTGTAGCAGGAAATCATTTCAACATATGGCCATCACTACAAATGGACAACTCAGTCAATCATATTTATATTTCTGTAATTAACCAATATTCGGTACCACTATGTATACCCATGGGAGCAACACATAATTGCAATGGAATACATTTCCTCAAACAATTCTCATTTCTAACTTTATCGTATGTGTTATCTCTTCTTTTGCTCTTATCTTTCTTAATTGCAGGTTGCTTTAGCCTTGAGCTCTAATATTAAACGAGCTTGAGTTTAAGTTCAATCTGACTCGACTCGAAACTTTATCAAGCTACTCCATTATATTATATTCATTTTTAAAATATTATGTAATATTATATTAAATAAATGAAAGGAAAAAAAAAAAGCCCTAGCCGCTTGCCGCCCCAACTTATTTGGCAAACCGCGGTCCGTACATTGACATCACGCCATGGCGGGGGGGCTGCCTCTTCGTGTGTAAGGTTCGGATCTTCTTCCCGTCGCCGGCATTTTAGATGACTGCGACTTTGGAGCTCTTCTTCTTGTACGCCGGCCTTCACCGGTAAGTTATCGCCGGATTTTGTTTTGCGTTTTCACGGTAACCTTTCATTGAATAAAAAACCCCGCAATTTTTTTCGCTTCCTTTTCTCTATATTTCCATCCTTTTGCATTGTGGTTGTGTTAGTTAACACTTTGGGATATACAAATCTCATCTCATCTGCATTACAGGGTGACGAAACGTGGAAGGTAGTTAACAGTCGAAAATGCTAGCACCAAGTGTGCTTTCTGCAACATTCTTACAACTAAGTGGATCTATTTTTGGATGAGAATCATGAGAATCTATGTTCTAAATCCTTCTAAATGGTTAGTGTCGATGGATTATTTCTATATTTTAATTCTTCTATCACATCTTCTCTAGTAATTTTAATTTGGTGTGATCATTTTAAGGAGAACTTCATGATTAAAGAATTGCGATCAAGAGCATATTGCTGTAGAATTAAGCTTCCAGAGTTCAACCCAACCACATTGCATGCATTTTTAGTATTAGTTAGCTTTAGGGGCTGTTTGCCAACAAGTGGGATTTAACTTTAGTGGGATTTAGTAAATCCTGTAAATCCGAATTTAGTAAATTCGAAATTGCCATACGCACTCATGATACGAAGCTTCAGCACCTGAGCCAGCCGAAGCACATCGAAACGACAATCCAAATCAATGTACGCAACCACCATCTCCAGCCCACGGAAACAGATTCCGTTCCACTCCCTGTGCAGAATGCAGTGAATGGCGGCCTATGACGAAGTGAAATCAAAGGAACGAAGGCAAGTGAGTGAAAAAGAGAGGAGAGAATAACAGAGGCTAGGTTTGCCTGCAAGAGGATCTCGCTTTTCGCCGAGGGAGAGGGGCCAGTGATTTCGACGACATCGCCAGCGCGAATGGAAAATTGAGGGGAGGGAAGACAAGGGAAGGGCGTTCTTTTTCCATTCTACCGAACATCGCCTTCGCAGTCTCATTGACAAGGAGCCATGCCCTAAATCCCGTTTTGATCGGAAGCAAGAACGGGAGCTCGCTGGCTGTGAAGGTAACTTTCTCCCTTTCGCGCGCTTCTTCGGATAAATCCCGTTAAATCCGACTTCCCCTCGGATTTACTAAATCCCGGATTTAAGCCGGATTTACCGAATCCCGGGATTTAACGCGCGCACAAAAACTGTTTGGCTGGATTTAGCGTAAATCCGACTTAAATCCCGCTGTAAATCCGGGCAAATCCGATACCAAACAGCCCCTTAGTGTTTCGGATTGTTAAGTTGCAACCCGACTGGAAAGGTTTCAAAGTTTAGAATGAATACAAAAGCACAGAATTCACAATTAATGGCAGCAGTGATGAATTGGATTGAATTGAATTTCAAATGTTATAGTCTCGATATTTTTCCAAAAAAAAAAAATTTGTTTTAAGTTACAGAACGTTCCTTTAAGGTTATCATAACCTAACTAGAATACCAGATCAAAAGCTACTGTTTCAGCCTCCTTAACAACTCTAGGAGCTTCCTTGCAGCAGAAAAATGAACGAAAAATATTGAAAAACTATACCAAACATTGAAGAACACAAGAAGTGACAGCTCACCGGAAAGTTAAAAAGGCGGAAGCTTCCCGGAGAAGAAATTAGAGGGCCGTAAGGCAGCTCAAAGAACATATATGCTTGAAGAGAAACAGATGAAGAAGAGATTGAATGAGAGTCTGATGTTCATCATGAGTGCAAGTTCTGGCGAGCCGCAAGAGAAAATGGGAAGCGGAGCTCCATCCATGTGCTGTTTTCTCTGGCGAAAAATGGGATCGTAGAGGCAATCTGCCGTTGCAGAAGAGAAGGAAGATCAACGCATCAAGAGAGACAGTGAAATCACGAAAGACTGAGCCAACAATATATATACTAAAAATCTGACTATCAATAAAAATAATATTCTTCCATCTCTATTTTCAAATTTTCATTCAAATATTAAAATTAAAATCAAAATTTGAACTCCTATTTTTCATTTTATGGTACTCTAATTAGGTTTGTAAGTGAGTCAAGACATCTCATGAGCCGACTTGAGCTCAATCTCAATTTGATAAATTACTCATGAGTGAAGCTTGATGAACTTACGAACCAAACTTGAGCCATCATTGACTCAACTCTTAAGCTCGTGAGCCGGCTCATTTTATAAAATTATTATAAAATACTCTTGGAATATATTAACATTTAGAAATTTAAGTATAAAGTTGCAAAAATATTTTAAAATAATATCATAATGTGGTGTGATGAGCAAGAGGGCATTCTTGTGGTGTGATGAGCAATGCATGATATTAGCCCATCACTAAATCTATCTTCTTTGATACGGATGGAGTGAAGAGTGAACAGAGCATGTGCATCACATGCTCTACAAAGCGATGATGAAAGTATATACTTGGTCATGTAGAGTGCACTCTATGCGACAATTCTTCTTCAAGTTCATGCTTATTTATGCTTTTTAACAACATCATTTCTACTTTTTAACATTAGATTGAATATTGTCTGACAATAACGGAATCTTTTTCTTGAATTGAAATTGTGTATATGCTTATCAATTGTTGGGACCAGTTGACATTCCTTTCTGATGCAATTATATGATGAACCTTTGGTATCAACCATGGATTAAATCTTTGGTGATGGAATTGCAGATGACGGTGATAGTGAACGAAATATGCAGTTATTTATATTGTGCTTTCTTGATGATGCTAATTGGATTTTGCTGATGCAGCTAGAGGAGGAAAACTCATGTTATTGGACCTAGGAACATTATAACCTGTTGCTGCTTGTGGAACATAAGTGGAACCATTTGTGTGCTTTGGTGATGCAACTTCATGGATGGTCTGGGATGGGGATATCTTGCATTTTTGCTCTACTGGGAGCTTTTGCTGAAGACTCTGTATGGATGGATGCTTGAGAAAAGGTTTGGCTTTTGAGATATGGGATGATTAGAACTTTCACATGCTCCTTTGGTTGCTTGTGACTGGCTTGCCCGACAAACTGGGACAAATGTAAATGGGCATTATCGACAATTGTCAATCTCTCTCTCATCATTTTTCATTGGGTTGAAGAGAATGGGTATGGATGGGACTATTTGCATTTACTTATTGCTTCTGCGAGGGTTTAGAAATTAAGTTTGAGAGTTGACTTCTTAAGTGTATTAGAGGTTACAGTTCAGAGTTAGTTTTCTCATTTATTATTATAATGCATCAATTGAGTGGAATATTTGTAAAATTAGCAAGATTAGAATGCTATGATGGTAATTTTACAGTATTAGGTGGCATACCAGTGTATGCTAAAGTTTGTGATTGTATGCATTAAAAATTCCTTATTTATTTATCTTCACTACTCTTTGGTAAAAGCTTTGATGCTACAAAAGCTTATAATATGGGTTCTGATTTGCTTTTTTATAATGCTCACCATTTATGACTAACTTGTTCTGTGCGATCTATTTAAGTGTTCGTCGTCATCAACATCACTCTCTTTGAACTAAGCATGTCATTTGAATGAAGCATTACTTCATGTATAAGTTCTAATTTTTAATGGACATGTTTTACTTTGGTTTTCTAAATATTTAAAACATTACTATATATTTTTTTATTTAAATAATTATTGCATTTTATTATAATTTAATTTATATAATTAGTTACAACTGATTGAAGATTTTTTAGTTGGGTCCTTGATTCTTTATGTTTTTCTTGTCCTGCTTTCAATTTAGGATATTCCAGTTTTTTTTTCCTGAAGCATGCTTCTATTGCTTTTATTGTCCTTATGATGGGCATTTTAGTAAACAGTTATGCTGCAAGTAAACTGCAGGGAAGATATTTATCTAGTTCGACTAATAGAAAACCGTTTTTGGTTCTATGCTAGATAATAAATTGATCGGGTTTCTTCACATAGGTACCCTTTTTGTTGGAAGAAGCGACGCTGCATTTGTTCAAAGTGTTTGTGCTGTTGTTTTGAAGGGGAGTTGGCATAAGTTGTCAAATGTTGCAATTGGTTTCTGCCTTTCTTCTGCGAATGTAAACCAAATTCTTCTTCTATTATCAAAAGATGCCTCCTTATCATGGACTTTCTTCAGATGGGCACAATCTCTGCCACACTACCAGCATTCTCTCCAGTCCTTCTGGACCATGGTCCACCTCCTCACTAAGAAAAGGCAGTTCAAAACTGCTAGGGAGCTACTTGAGAAGTTTGCTTTCAAGGAATTTCTATCGTCACCTGCAGTGCTCAGTTCATTGCTGAGTGCTTATGATGACCTTAAGACAAATACACAAATTTTAAACTGGCTTATGATTATATATTCACAATCAAAGCTAGCAGTGGATGCATTCCAAATATTTGATCAGATGAAGAATGAAGGCCTCAAACCAGATCAACATGCTTGCAATGCTTTATTGAGCATGCTGGCAAAGTCTAGACAAACGGCTACTGCATGGAAGGTTTACCATGAAATGCTTTTGGTTGGAGTTGTGCCAAATATCTACATCTATAATGTCATGCTTCATGTTTGTTTTAAATCTGCCGATGTTGAGAAGGCAGAGAACTTGGTCAGGGAGATGGATCAGAAGGGTGTCTTTCCGGACTTATTCACATATAATACTCTTATTTCACTTTTCTGTAGGAGGGGTATGCATTACGAGGCTTTGGCAATTCAGGATAGAATGAGAAAGGAAAGGGTTAATCCAGATATCATGACTTATAATACTCTCATCCATGGATTTTGCAGAGAAGGTAGAATGAGAGAGGCAGTCAGGCTTTTCAGAGAAATTAACGGTGCTGTTCCTAACCAGGTAACTTATACAACTCTCATCGATGGGTATTGTAGAGTTAATGAACTTGATGAGGCACTGAAATTACGTGAAGAAATGGAGGCAAGAGGTTTACGATCAGGTGTTGCCACTTACAATTCAATAATTCGAAAACTCTGTGAGGAAGGGAAAATGAAGGCTGCTAATAAACTATTGAATGAGATGGATGAGAGGAATATTGAACCTGACAATATCACATGCAACACATTAATCAATGCATATTGTAAGAGAGGAAACATGGATTTAGCATGGAAACTTAGGAATAAGATGCTGGAAAAAGGTTTGCTTCTTGATCATTTTACTTTCAAGGCTCTCATTCATGGATTCTGCAAAGTTCAGGAATTAGATAATGCCAAGGAAGTCCTTTTTGAAATGCTAAATGCAGGTAATGCTCGACTCTTAAATTATCTATGTGATGTGGCATATTATGAATGTTCACATCTATGCTGTCTTATCTCTTTATATGCTGATGCTTCTTTATATGTTTGGTTTAGTTTATTCATGCCAAAATATTAATGTTTTGGAAATTAAAATGCCAATGCTAATAAAACAAACACACATTTTAATCTACTCCTTGCATTAACACTTCATGCATGATTTGATCGTGCAATGATACAATAAGTTTTTGCTCAAGTGTCATGACTCATGAGTGTCATTGTTAAGGTGGTGGTCATCGTTATCATCCTTCTTGCTATACCTTTCCCTTTTTCTCTTTAATTATCTCCTTCAAATCGGGACAAACATCAGACTTGTCAAATGGGTTATCTATCTGATCATGATTGATGAAGATGAATGCACCCATACACCAAGAACATCGGGTTCATATTTGTCTCCATCTTTTTATTTGTTCAAATGTTTGAATTTCTTAGAATTTGGTAGTATTTGTTAGGAGCAAAATAAACATTTGCATGTTAGAGAAGACAATATATTATTTTCATCTAACATTGAAAGAGTGCATATGCCTTAATACATCCACTTTACATTCATCCGTTGCAGCAATGGGGCTTTTCCCATGATCCCAACCTAGGCTTTTGTCTCCTTCCATTAGGTCTTTCCACAACCTCTAATCCGTTTTGAGTATTTCTCATTTGTTTGTCACTTAAACTGTATCATACTACCCACCTCTCTTTAAACATGATAATCACATTATTTCCACACCCCCCCCCCTATTTCCCCCCCCCCCCCCCCACTTTATTTAAGTGAGTGTTTAGCTGATTCTATGTAAGTACCTCATTTAATACAGAAATGAATAATGGTTATGATGTATTTATGAACTAAATCATGGTTTTCAATACTGGTAATTTTAGTTTTCTCTGTGTGGTTTCAGATCAATTCCTAGTACAACCATACAATACTAATTAGTATTTTCATTTTATGCTAGATTCGAGGGTTTTAGCTAAAAGTTGAATTTAGATTAAGTTTTGATTGAAACTCGTGTTGTTTTAGTTGGAACTCGTAGTGTTTAAATTTAACTTTTGCTAAAATTCTTAAACAATTGTTAAAATTCTATTAGAATTCATTCTTTGAGGCTCCATCAAATTTCTTGTGTTGTATTTTCAGCCTTAATTAGATAGTTCTCTCTGTTTCATATCTTGAATAGTTTTTTGAAATATTTAGTAATGAAAAATAAGTTCAACAAAATTTGAAACTAAATCCCCGACATTGATGAAATTATAAAAAACAATCAAAATTTAAGTTCTTATGATAAGATTGAAAATGAAACCAACTTCTAAAACTTTTAGACTGATTTTTTAAAGAACAAAAATATTAAATGGGCTTAAAAGGTCAAATCTTATTCAATGGGCTAGGTAAGTTATAGTTTGTAGTCTTAATTTTTTCCCATTTACTATGTATTAAATAAAACTCATTCGAGAGATTCATCCATCAGTATAATTAATAAACACATTGTGGTTATTATGTATGCCCAACATCCAAACTATAATCAAAGAGAATGGATGGAATTGGGAAACAAAAAGATTATCAGCAAGCTAGCCAGACCCAAGTCTGCTGATGACAAAATCCATCATCCTCTAACCATACTTGGATGGCTCTGATAGTGGTAGTTGAAATCTTCAAAAGAATACTTTAATGTGCAAATAAAATACTTATGACTATTTCCTTAAACATTTTATTCCCCACCCATTGACAAGGAGCTGTCAGCAATTGACTAAAACTCCCAAGGAACCAAATTGATTGAACTAGTCAAGCTTGTAAGGGAAACCTGATGGCTTAAGCCAGAGAGTACTTATTCAGCTGCCAGGAAGCTTTAGAGTAGCAATTGTACTTTTTTTTTCTCATGAAAAGCTTATGTTTGCATTAATACTTAATAGGTTTAAGTTCTGACACATTCCTTCATATATGAATTGACAAGTCAAGTCTTGCAAGTCACCGCATCACCATTAATGACTAAGTTGGCGCTCCTGTTGTTATTTGAAGATAGCATTCAAGTGACCATGTGCCTGCATGCTGAATTATCTCTAAGTTGATTTGTCAAGTTGAACAAGTCACCACACGACGGCCACTAATTACTAAGATGGTGGTCTTGTTGATGATCTAAGTTAGCACTCAGAGTGACCATGTGTTGCAGGTTGAACTATGCTATGAAGACAAATCATTCATTTCATTATTGCATTGTTTGCCCATGATTGAACTTAACATCATTCTATAAATGGAACAATTAGCACCAAAAATTTCCTCCATAGACTGTAGAGAAAGAACGAGTTAAGTTTAGAATTCCATAACAAGCAAATTTTATGTTTCATGGTGACAGTTGGGGCATCCACCCCATCATATCAGTAGTGAAGGCGACAAAACTTGTCAATACATTGATCAACCTTTACTCCATGAAACGCATTTTTAATCTGTCTTAAATTTTTTTGATTTTTTGTTGATTTGAAAAGAATGAATGTAGAAATCTAGTTGAACTTTATTTCTTTCAGTTTTCTGTGATCCGGAATGCTTCAGACCTTTTAGCTTATCAGTTACAAGCTGCCTTTATTTAAGTTTAGTTCTCTGGTTTATACTTTGGTTCTGCAAAACTGAGTTGTGTTCTACTTTATCTAGTTCTCTGGTTTAATAGCAAGTCTTGATAATAAAGAGGATAAGACTAGGCAGATAGATGAAGGGATGGAATGCTAGAGCATTGATAATAATGAAGAAGGAATAAAAATTTGCAAAGATTAGATCAAGGCAAAATCGGGAATCGATGCGTTTTTTCTAAGCAAGGCGAGGCGTAAGCCTCTAGGCGGATCGAGGCGTAAGCCTCAAAATGATTAAAATAAATTAAATTTAAAATTAGAAATAATGACAAAAAAATAATAAAATATTATGTCAACTATGAATTTGAAGATTTGTTTTAAGATAATATTACTAGAATACAAGATTTAAAATAAACTCACTTAAAAATAAAACATCCCCTTAGGATCAAGACCCAAAGCAGGCTCATCATCACTTTGATTGTTTTGAGAAGAATCTTCATAATTAATGTCAAAGTCATTCTCAAACTCTTCTTCATCTATAATATTTTTTCTTTTATCTCCTATATCAGTTAATATTTCATTAGTTCTAAAATGAAACAATAGTAACATACAAAATAATTCATTATATTTAAGAATACCTTTGAATTTTTTTGAAGCTCCAATCTCACTTTGTTTCTTTCTTTTATATATTTGGGTAGTTGCTTCATTGTCTTCTTCATTGACATGAGTTTCTCCTTCTGCTTCAACTTCAGAAACATCAGCATTCTTAAGAGTAACACATTTATCATCAAATTGTAACTCATCAACAAGCAAAGGGTCAATTTCATTCTCAATATTTCTTTGATTATGCAATTTAAGATGTCTATCTTTCAGTTTTTTGTTAAACATAACATAAACTAGTTTGTTCATTCGATCTGCTGCCAATCGATTTCTTCTCTTTGTATGAATTTGATTGAAGATGCTCCAATTACGCTCGGTACCGAGCGATACTAGCTCGGTACCTAGCGATGCCTAGCAGTATCGAGCATGTACTGAGCGGTCGAATGAAAGAAAGCCGAATCAAGAGTTATTCGAGTTTTCGTTACTGCACGTCAAAGTCTCACATGCTCTTCCGACCTAACCAAGGCCTGAACGTTTCCTGCACTCACAACTTCGGCTTTGTTTCCTGCTTTCGAAACCGTTATTGCTTTCGGCTTCATTTCCTGCGTCGTCTCCTTCCGACTTCGTCTCCTGCACTCACTGCTTCGTCTCCTTCCCTCATGGCTTTGTCTCTGTCCCTCACAGCTTCGCCTTCTGTTCGCCTTTCAATTCTCACAGGAAACCCTAATCCTATACGCGAACACGAATCGATTGCGTCGTATTTACATATATACTGAATAAAAAATTTCGAGGCGGTGCCTCGTACTGCCTCGAGGCGTTACGCTCTGATGCGTACGCCCCCTGCGAAAAGATCGTAAGCTTTGCTGGATGGCTCGAGGCGTAAGCCCCGATACGCATGACTTCCGCCTCGACTTGAGGCGCGACTCAAAGCTGACGCCTCGTCCGCTTTTTTAATGGTTGGATTAGATTATCCTTATACCATGGACACAAATATGTAGTTTAAGTGGATAATCTACTTAGCAAGATTTTGGACCTAAATTTCAACAAAATTTCAAGCTTTATTATTTTGCCTAACATGGTTTAATATTATAATTATAATTTAAGGCTTTCAAAGCTGTTCCATATATTTGAAATATATTTATTAAATTGAATAACTGTTACTTCTTAGCATACAGTGATGCATAGGACTTAATCTGCCATATTGCCTTGAAGATGCAGAGTGCTTATGATTATACTGCATTCATGCTGCAACTAATAGGTGTAGTCAGCAAGGATTTTGTTTTTCTATCTTTGATTCTGATCTTTCTAGTTAATGAAGTGGACACTGCTTTAGGCAGCTTTAACCTTTTGCTGTGCTCATATTTTCAATGCAGGAATCTCACCTAATTATAGTACATTGTCATGGCTTGTGGATGGTTACTGCAATCAGAATAATGAAGAGGAAGTGCTCAGAATACCTGATGATATCATGAACAGAGGGTTTTGTGCGGATAAGTCTATATACAGGTCATTAATTCGAAGGTTTTGTAAACGAGGTTTGGTAGATTATGCCCAAAAGATATATGTCAAAATGCAAGCAAAGGGCATTGCCGGAGATGGTCTTGTATGTACAATTCTGTCTTATGCATACTTAAATGCTGGAAAGCCAATAGCATCATCTGAGATTTTGAATAATATGCTTAAGAACAGGATCATAATAACATCGAAGATTTATAAATGTCTTTGTGCTTCTTATGCTGATAGAAGTGACATGCTAGAACTGTTCTGGCATCAGGCCATTGAGAAAGGCTTACTTGCAAATAATGTTTACAAGTTGATGCAAGAAGCCAGGCCAAACTCAAGGAGTAATCATTGAGATGTGTTTATAGCCTTGTGCAAGTCGTGTTTTGTTCTACTTTTATAATTAACAGGAATGATCCGACGTTGGCAAGCATACCGTTGGAAAAGCGCACCAGTTTTTATTTTAAATTGCTGAGCAGTTGCAAATGGCATTTTTAACTAGGTTGGAAAGAACGCTTCTCTTGAGGTACTTTTTTCATCCGTGTTATTAATTCTCTGATGCCTCTTTTCCACCGCCAAGCACTGAAGAGATTTTAAGCATGTCTTATCATCAGTGCTGAAAACTGACATATGAGCTTTCTTGTTGTTTCAAGGCTGTTCTGGACACCCAAAAAATTGTGGAAATGTCTTTATTTAGGTAATTTTTTGTACTAGTAATCCTTTCTACCTTGTTTTTAGTCATGTTCTTTTGGTGCAAAGTTTTTCCGTTTCTCTCTTTCCACTGGTGGATGACCAATCTAAGTTGAGTGCATTTTAAACTATTGCAAGGCACAGGAATCTAGGCATTCCCTAATGGATTCTGTTAGTGCGTTCAAAAGTGTAGTGAGGAATAGCTGCACCCATAGTTCTTTTCAATCTACCTGACATCTGGCGAAGCAAATTGCAGTTGTTTTGCTCTTTTGTTTATAATAAGAAATGACCAGACATTGGCAAGCGTGCTGTTAGAAAAGGGCGTCTGTTTTTCAAAATTGCTGAGAGGTTGTTAAGTGGTGTTTCCTTAACTTGGTAAGAAAATTACACTTGTCTCAAGTTACCATATCCATTTATGCTATTTGTATTGTTAATGCTTCTGTCCTACCAAGCACTTGGAAAGATTTTAAGCATCAGGATTCATGGTCAATGCAGATAAATCTGGAAAATGAGCTTTTCTACTTTCTCACGAAGGCATTTCTGTAAGAAAAGAAAGTGGAAAATTCTTCATTCAGGTAATTTGGTATTATTAATCTTTTCTACTTAGTTTAGTCATGTTGTTTGGGCTCTTGTTGTTCTTTATGTCTGTCCTAGTGTGACCTATGTATTCTTCTGACTGCTGTCAGTTGAATTCTCAATTTAAACAAATGCAAGCCACAAGCATTAAAGCCTAGGCTAAAAGATTTTGCGAGTGTGTTCAACAATGTTGAGTATGGAATTGTCCATTCATAGCTCTCTTTCAATCTTTTTCGAGAAGATTTAGCTTTCATTTTGCAAATTTTTTAAATGATCATATGTCCTTCCCATGCAGCAATAACAGACAAAGAATCTACTCACCGAATGAAGTAGAATTTATGTTAGGATGTCTTGATTCAAATTTTATCAATGTGGGTTTCATTTTCATAAGAATTTATTTCGACAGATAAGTGCAACACATGACTATAATACTAAATTATGCAAATTCCCACGATAGATAAGTTAGCACCTGTGATACTTCAAATATGATAGTTCATACCCATAAACTCAGGTTGATATAGAATATGTCAACTGAGTTTGAAAATAATATTGACTATGGTTGAAATAACTGAAGGTTTTGTTATGATCGCTTATGAAAGAGATTGGTGTGAATCGACCATGAAGTCAACAAAGAAATCAATTTTAGGGAAGGACGGTAAGATTCCTTAAATAGAGGTATTGATAGAGAGAATTTATCTGAGTCTATATAACTGTAGGTGTGCCTTGAAGCATTATGAAAAATTATGATTATATATTTTGAAAGAAGAATAATAAGTAATTTTTATCTTCTTTTGGTCGGATTGATATATTTTATTGTTAGTTTTCATCTGGCGATGCCTTGCCATTTCTTGGTGTTGTATTCTTTTCATTGAATGATAATGATTTTGGTTTTTCTTTAATAAAAAATTAGATTTTTGCTTATTAGTTTTGAACGTTAAGATGAAGGAGCAAAATATAAAAAATAAAGTAAAATGTCGTTCTAGGATTAAATGGGGGCATTTAAAGAATATTAACAAAAATATTTTTGAGAGTAAGATTCTAAATATTAAGATTTTGTCTATGCATGAGAAAATTAATGTTATGTGAGAAAACGTAGCTAGTGATATTAAGAATGTTACTTAAATGTGCTTGGAGTATTAAAGGGAAAAATTCCAAATGTGCAAGAAAAGATTAAAAAATAAGATGATTTTATATCAAAATTGATTTAGATGTAAAATCTCTGATAATTGAGAAGTATATAAATAATCTCGTAAGGAGTCTAAGAAAACAATATGTAATATAAAGATTTTAGCTTTTAATAATTTATATAATAGATTAGATACCAAGGAGGGGAGAAATATATATATGTATAAGTTAGCCAAACAAAGAGATATGAGTAGTAAAAATTTACTTCAAGTGAAGTGCATTAAGGATGAAAATCAAAAAGTATTATTATTAGAAGAGGATATTCAACAAAGGTGGATGAGATATTTTACTAAAATTTTCAATGAAGATTGTGAGTGAATACAATTGACTCAGTGACCTTAGCATCCTAAATGAAAAGAAAAAAATTTATTTTTATTAGCGTATTGATAAAACCAAAGTTAGAGAGGCTTTAAAGAAAATGAAATGTGGAAAAGCTGTTGGACCTGATGATATTCTAATAGAGGTGTGTAAATGCTCAGGAGATGAATGAATTTCTTGACTTACTAAACTTTTTAATATTATTTTAAAGACAAAAGATATAAGATGAGTGGAGAATGAGTGTTGATTCTTATTTTTAAGAATATAGGTGATGCACAAGATTGTGCAAATTATAGAGGAATTAAGTTAATGTGTCATACTTTAAAACTATGGAAGAGATTTATGGAGCATAAATTACGACTTGATACTAATGTTTCTCAATATCAATTTATTGATTTAGAAAAAAGCATATGATAAAGTTCCAAGAGAAGTGCTATGGGGAGTTCTAGAGAAGAAAGAGGTTAATAATGCTTATATGCTAGTCATTAAGGATATGCATGCAGGAGCTATTACATATGTTCAAACACAAGGTGGTTTGACCAAGTATTTTCCTATTTCTATTAGATTACATCAACGATCAGCCTTAAGCCCATATCTTTTTTCTTTAAGCATGGAGTTTCTCACTAGACATTTTGCAAGAGGTTGTATCATGGTGTATTTTTTTTGCTTATGATGGGCTGGGAGAAGTGTTGATGCAGAACCACAGTCCTGTAGTATACTTCAGTCAAGTGCTATCAACCAGGGCAAGACTGAAGTCAGTGTACGAGAGAGAGCTGATGGTGATTGTCTTAGCCATTTAGAAGTGGCGCCCCTACCTGTTGGGGCGACATTTCATTGTCCGGACTGATCAAAGGAGTTTGAAGTATCTTTTGGAGCAAAGGATGGTGACTGAGGAGCATCAGCGATGGCTATCCAAATTGTTGGGCTACGACTTCGAGATCCAGTACAGGCCTTGTTTGGAAAATAAAGCAGCTGATGCCCTATCCAGATGTGTGGGGGAGCTCCATGAGCTATCTCTGTCAGTACCATTGACGGTCGACTGGGGGGTCATTAAGGAAGAAAGCATGCTAGATGAAGAATTGGGGAAAGACAAGAGCAGTCAGCCTGGTTACAGCATTGAGGGGGAGAGATTATTGTGTCAGGGGAGGTTCGTGATGCCACGAACTTCCATACATATTCCATACTTGTTGCAGGAGTTCCATGGCAGTGCAGTCGGGGGCCATTCAGGAGTACATAAGACATACAGAAGGTTAGCAGTTGAGCTCTACTGGAAAGGGATGCATAATGATGTAGAGGAGATGGTGGCAAGGTGTGAGGTGTGCCAGAGAAATAAATACATGGCAATGGCACCAGGAGGGTTACTCCAACCATTGGCACTTCCAAACAAAGTATGGGAGGAAGTGTCTATGGATTTCATTGACGGCCTACCCCGTTCAGAGGGATACACAGTCATTTTGGTAGTGGTGGACCGCCTCAGTAAGTATGCACATTTCATCCTTCTACGACACCTGTACACCGCGGTAACAGTGGCAACAACTTTTATCAGAGAAGTGGTGAGATTACACGGGCTGCCGGAATCAATTGTTTCCGATAGAGACAAAGTGTTCCTTAGTCAGTTTTGGAAGAAACTGTTTCGAATGTAGGACACTGTTCTCAAGAAAAGTACTGCCTACCATCCTCAGACAGATGGACAGACAGAGGTGATAAATCGAAGCTTGGAGACGTACTTGAGGTGTTTTGCTTCAGAAACACCACTGAAGTGGGCAAAATGGTTACCGTTGGCAGAGTATTGGTATAACACTTCGTACCATTTCGCAATTCAAATGATCCCTTTCAAAGTGCTCTACGGGAGAGACCCCCCACACTTAGTGTTTTATGAGGGTGAACACACCAATATCTTCAGTGGAGCAGTACCTAGAGGAAAGGGATCAAGTGTTAGAGGAGTTAAAGAAACATCTGGGAAGGGCACAACAAATCATGCAGGAGCGAGCCGATGCACACAGGAGAGATATACAGTATGAAGTGGGGGAGAAGGTGTACTTGAAGATAAGGCCCTAGTACAGGCAGAAATCAGTGGCACACAGGAAGAACGAGAAATTAGCCCCAAGGTACTTTGGCCCCTATGAGATCTTGGGAAAGATTGGAGCAGTGGCTTATCGTCTGAAGTTACCCCCCTCCGCTACCATTCACCCAGTGTTCCATGTGTCCCAACTGAGCAGAGCACTAGAGGAGCATGCAGCTAGTGCGGAATTACCAGCATCTTTGACAAAGAATTGGGAGGTGGTCATGGAACCTGTGGAGCTGGAAGGGGTAAGGGTAGACAAGAAAGGAAATAAAGAGGTGTTGATCAAATGGAAGGATCTCCCAGACTATGAGGCCACTTGGGAGCCCTATGAGATTGTGAAGCAGCAGTTCCCTGACTTTCACCTTGAGGACAAGGTGAGTTTTTGGAAGGGGAGTACTGATAGGCCGGCTGGACCGGTCCAGGTCCTGGTCTACAGTCGGAGGAAGCAAGGCAAGAAAGAGGGGGGTGGAACATTGGGTGGGGCCTACTTGGAGTTAAATCCAATATTAGGAGGAAAATTTTGAATTATAAGGGGTAATTAGGTAATTTGTAATCCTCCTTTCATGATTAATTAGGGGGAATAGGGGGGAATTAGGGTTATCTTGAATTTGAATGTATTTTTGAGATCTAGTTTTTGGTTCTTGAGCTCTTGGCGTTGCCGGAGATTGTGGAGAGTAATTCCTTCCTCTCGGATTGAAGGAAATTGTATCTTTCTTTGTGTCTTGCATTTACTATTAGAATACAAGAATTTTGCTTGATTTTCTCTCATATTTCTATTGCAAATCTCCTGTTTTCTTTGTTTTTTGCCTGTTTTCCTGCTGTGGACAGCAATATCTTTGCTGCAGCTCACTGATTTGGGCTAGGAACACTTATGAATACAAGTGGTTCCTATCAGATTCTAAATATTAAGATTTTGTCTATGCATGAGAAAGTTAATGTTATGTGAGAAAAAGTAGCTAGTGATATTAAGAATGTTGCAAAAATGTGCTTGGAATATCAAAGGGAAAAACTCCAAATGTGCAAGAAAAGATAAAAAAATAAGAAGATTTTATATCAAAATTGATTTAGATGTAAAAACTCTGATAATTGGGAAATATATAAAGAATCTCGTAAGGAGTCTAAGAAAATAATATGCAATATAAAGATTTTAGCTTTTGATAATTTATATAACAGATTAGATACCAAGGAGGGCGAATATATATATGTATAAGTTAGCCAAACAAAGAGATATGAGTAGTAAAAAATTACTTCAAGTGAAGTGCATTAAGGATGAAAATCAAAAAGTATTTTTATTAGAAGAGGATATTCAACAAAGGTGGATAAGATATTTTACTAAAATTTTCAATGAAGATTGTGAGTGAATACAATTGACTTCAGTGACCTTAGCATCCTAAATGAAAAGAAAATTTTTTATTTTTATTGACGTATTGATAAAACCAAAGTTAGAGAGGCTTTAAAGAAAATGAAATGTGGAAAAGTTGGACCTGATGATATTCTAATAGAGGTGTGTAAATGCTCTCTGGAGATGAATGAATTTCTTGACTTACTAAACTTTTTAATATTATTTTAAAGACGAAAGATTTAAGATGAGTGGTGAATGAGTGTTGATTCTTATTTTTAAGAATACAGGTGATGCACAAGATTGTGTAAATTATAGAGGAATTAAGTTAATGTGTCATACTTTAAAACTATGGGAGAGATTTATGCAGCATAAGTTACGACCTAATTAATACTAATGTTTCTCAATATCAATTTGGATTCATGACGGATAAGTCTACAATGGAAGCTATACATTTATTGAGTGGTTTGATGGAGAATTATATGGAGAATATGGAGAATAATGAGGATCTTCATATGATATTTATTGATTTAGGAAAAAGCATATGATAAAGTTCCAAGAGAAGTGCTATGGGGAGTTCTAGAGAAGAAAGGGGTTAATAATGCTTATATGTAAGTCATTAAGGATATGCATGCAGGAGCTATTACATATGTTCAAACACCAAGTGGTTTGACCAAGTATTTTCCTATTTCTATTAGATTACATCAAGGATCAGCCTTAAGCCCATATCTTTTTTCTTTAAGCATGGAGTTTATCACTAGACATTTGCAAGAGGTTGTTGCATGGTGTATTTTTTTTGCTTATGATATTTTTCTTGTTGATAGGACTAGAGAGGGAGTTGAAGATAAACTTGAATTATGGAGGTCTACCGTAGAGTCTAAAGGTTTTTATTTGAGTAGATCTAAAACTAAATATGTGGAGTGTAGTTTTAGTAGTAATAGATCTGGTGGGAGGATTGTGACTTTGGGCGATCGATATCTTAGGTCTATTGTTCAAAGTGATGGTGAAATAGATGAGATATTATCAGTAAAATTCCAGTTGGATAGTTGAAGTGGAGGAATGCATCGAACTTGTTGTGTGATTAAAAAGTCCCCCTCAATTTTAAGGAAAAATTTTATAAGATGTTGAGACCTGCAATGCTTTATGGTGCAAAATGTTGTCCATTAAAAGAGAAGCATAATATTAAGTGTTATAGAGATGAGGATGCTTAGATGGATGAGTGGCTTTACTCTTAGAGACATAATACAAAATGAGTATATACATGAAAAGATTGGAGTAGTTCCAATAGAAGATAAGATTAGAGAGAGTTGCCTTAGATGATTTGGTAACATAAAACATTGGCCTTCCGATGACCCGGTTAGGAAAGTAGAGGTATTAGATTTGGCTTATGTTAAGAAAGGTAGATGTAGACCTAAAAAGACTTGGTTAGAGAATATTAGGAATGATATTTCTTTATTAGATTTAAATGAGAATTTGACTCTTAACATGACACAATGGAGAAAAAGGATTCATGTAGCCGACTCCACTTAGTGGGATAAAGGCTTGATGTTGTTGTTGTTAATAAAAAATAGATTTCAATCTTAAAAAAAAAAACCAATTTCATTAATTATCCTCCACAAGGAAATCCAATTTCATTAATTATCTTATGAGGAGGAATTCTTCAACCACGTTTCCTTATTTTAGGGCCACCTACATAATTGAACAAGAGTAAATTTACATTTCATACTTCAATTTGTATTTAAAATTAACCTAATAAACTTCATTAGTATTGCAAAAATAAATTGAGATCACTCTGTAATTTGGTGTATAATTTATATGTATAAATTATTAAACATATAGTATAAATTAATAATAATTTTCTAAAATTTTAATGTTTTATATTAATTAAATTCATATTAAATGTGAATCAAATTTAAAATTATAGAAGATATTATTTTTGTATGAATTTTCTTTATTTTTAGTCAAAATTTATATTATTGTAAAATTATTATATATTATTATATAATTACTATGCCATTTAGATCTTATTTACATATTTTTAATATCTGTTATGTTTTTTAGTTCAACTTCTATTCAACACCGGTCAAACTATTGAATCTTGTACCTCTCAGTTTCACAACCCTTGCATTCCAATCCATTTGTGGGCAGCCATAGTGAATGCCTGCGCAAGAATATTTTCTGCTCTGGAGGAAAGAAGTATCTTTCATAATTGCTCCATCAAATTTGTTTTTATACTTTATCAATTATAAGTTACATTTAATCAAATTTATTGATCCATTTTCTATTCTAATAATCTGAATCATCTGAAAAAACTGGCGGAGTTACCCACTCATTCCAATAAGGCACTTTAGTTATTGCATTCCATTGCTAATTAATTAGATAATAAGAGTTGTGAAACCATCTTAAGAACAAATAGTGCTTCAGCTTTATGATGAAATGGAAGACAGCATAACAGGGAATATGCAATACTGCAACAGCTAAGTACCTGTAAGATGCAGAAATGAGTTATGTCAGTCCTTTTAAGTAGAAAGTGACAACTTCAATATAATAGATAGTTCTATTTTCAAAGGGTGGGGTAATATTTCAAAAAATGTAGTATTAAACATATAAAGGCAGGTGAGTGAGCATCAAATTTATCGTTTCCTTTATATTAGTATTACGTCCTACTATGATAACTTAGTGTTCTTTTTAGGCTCTTTTATTAGATAAAAATTCCTTAGACAAGGCTTCTATCAATTGCTTTCTGATTAAAATTATTGCAGAAATTTTGAAAATCTAACTGAATGCAGAGGGTGTGTAGGCTAGAAAATTATACCATATTGGGGATTTATCTTTTGACAAGTCAAGAAATGTGTATGGCCACCTGGATGTTAAAAGATTCAACGGATTAAAATTTATAGAAGAGAAAGAAAAGGTTGAAATGGTCCATGAATTATTTGTATGGAGCTATGTTAGTCTCATGATATAAATATGTTCAGTTTAGTTCATTCTCGAATATAATCTAAATAATCCAAACATTGGATTATTTTGGACCAGATTTGAATAGTTAAGGGACTAAATTGGACATATTTGATATTACAAGTCTAAAATGGCCTCCATAAATAGTCCGGTGGCCATTTTAATCTTTTTCTCAAAATTTATAGAAAAGAAACTAAGAATTATAGAAGCTGCATAGTAAGTGCTAAAGAGAAGAAGATACCAAATTGAGATGCAAGCATGAATGACCCATTGAAATATCACATAAATTGATGTCCATAGCATGAAATATGACATCCGAAACCAGCGGAATCGCTAGCACAAGCATGATAATGGAACAAATAAGAAAAAATAGTAGGAAATGAGGAAAGGACTTAAAGGAAAGAAACATTTACCAGACGGTTCAGGGCGGCATCGAAAATGAAGAAGATTGCATTTAGAGAGTGCATTACTACTTGCAGCTGCAATATCAATCAAATTATCGATCCGACTGAAATTTAGTAATTTAAGGGTTTGTATAATTTGCATGGAGGATGGCAGTACACGAGTTGTATATATAATATTATTGAGATAAAGATATGAAAGCCATAAATCAAAGCAAATGAATTATAGGTGATGGATGCTTACAAAACTGAGATCGTAATTTTTAATTGCTAGAAAAGGAAATATGATAAGCCAAAACACGAAATCCGTAAGCAAGAGAGCACCTGCATTTGCCTGTTAGTTTCAAAAGGTTAATTAATGAGGTGATTGCATAAGCATAGAAAAAGCCAAACGTATTAATTTACAGAAATGTACATAGATATATCATCTCTTTCGCCAAGCCATAGGACTTGAAATAAGCTTTTAAATGCATATAAACTAAACATGATCAAGCCTCAACCATGCTGATCTGAACAGGATATCTCAAATTTGTAGGCCTTAAGGTGTTTAAAAATTAAACTAGATTCAATGTTTTATTTAATGTATTTCAAATAACAATTACTAGTAAATCTCTAAACTTCCTACTATATTTTTATCCTAACAAACTAGCTATTGTAATTCTATGCATATCTTAAAAAATTGGTGAGTTAATACTTTACAAATCTCTAACTTAAATCAGTAACACCATAACATATAGAGATCTCCATTATCACTCATCCTCTCCATGCCAATCACTCTAAGCTTTCAAAGCTCAACAGGGTTAAGCCCCCCCACCACAGTACTGGAACAAGCCCAAAGTGACGCTTGAACTTAATGCCCATTAGATATCTCCAAATCACATCTATTCCACAGAAGATAAATACATTGATACTAAAAGTCCACTTGTTCATACTCTCAAAGTGGCTTTGATGTGGGTCTATGGGATCTTTTTTGTAAAGACAACAATTTAATTGGTATATCTTACGGTTGACTAAAGGGTTATTTGGGTGGTAATAAAACAAAATTTCAGATTTTAGACATATTAGGATTTAAAACTTCTAAGATATCAGAAGACATGTTTTCCTTGGAGAAAAATAATGAGAAATTCCAGCTCAAAGATTTGAGATGTTAAGGAACTAATAGTGGCATATTTATGAGTTTTAGATTAATGTTTGAATAGTTATGATATTTTTAATTTGGCTGCTCACATCAAAAAAATTCTCTCTCTATTATAGGATGTTGGCTTTAATATCTTAGGATTATTGGAGCATTGAGGCCTTTGAAGACTATGAGGGATGTATGAGAATATTTAGGAGAATTTAAAGAGTTTAGATGGGTATGGGGGTTGAGAAAAGTTAGGCTCGAGATTATGCAGAGAAAATGAAAATTGTGTTGGGAAAGATGAATAAGGGTAAGAAAAGATAACTAAAGACTTATCAAAATCCTAAGGGACCAGCCACCAAGTTTTACCAAAGAGTAGAGTAATGATTAAGCCTTTCCACCGTGCAAGTAAAAATAATTTTTATAAAAGTTCTATTTATAGGCCTTTTCATGCCTAGACAATTTTGAAAAATTTTAGGAGTCAATAAAATGCTATTATATGGATTGATGATTTATCCTAATACGAATGGAAAAAAAATAAGGGAAATAAAATAAAATTTAAAATTTTCAAATACAAGAAAATTCGGATTGGTCAAATAACATTAAAGTAGGTGGCATTGAAATCAATCAATTTATGAAAATTATTGCCTTCTTGACTGGTATGACCCACCTATCCATCAAGAGGTATTAAATTTAGCTTCTTAATGACCCACCTATCCATCAAGAGGTATTAAATTTAGCTTCTTATTTAGTCTCCCGTAATTTTAAGAGGATTATAGAATGTCCATGGGCTTGTATGGAGAGTTTTGCATGATGAACAACCCAAATATTGATAAAAAACTTTTGAATGTTGTAATGTACAACCTAGTAATATGATAGACTCTGTAAACTGATCATCTGTAATTGTTTCCCGCTCAACCAATGCTCTTCTTTGTTCTAGAACCTGACTTGCAACCAAGAAACTAATCTTTATTTATTTCCGTAAGTAATAGTGCCCCAACTTAGATAAAACTGAAGTTCACTCAAAATAGCACCCTGTAACACAGTATATTAAATCATTTTGCCTTTTCATGATAATAAGCACACACCTTTACCACCTTTAAGAACTTCAATAATATTTTAGAATATGCATCATTATATTTACTTAAACATTCAAATCTTTAAATCATATAAAAATATAATTATTATTAACTTATTTAATATAAAATATTTTATGTACATATTTTGATGTAATTTAAACATTAGATTATTATAAAAGTAAATATAAAATTTGAAGTGTTAGATCTGAAATCACATAAAAATTTCATGATATTTATGTAAATCCCTTGTAAAATTGCGAGTCAAAACTTTACACTAGATGTTAAATAGCAAACACAAGCATATGAGCATATGAAGTTATTCCAGTGACTTTGTTCTGAGTTACTTATCACCTGATAGATAATCTGGAAGAGATAGCCACCTAACCGCACAATTTTGTGAATGTTCAGGTGCTTTCTGTTTGTAGTATTCTTCATTCTAAGAGGGTCAGTTGAAGTTTCAATATCTGCAGGAGCAATGCTTGAGCCACTCTCAGCATCCGAGCTTGTTGGATTAATCCTTTCAGCAGTTACTCTTACATATTTATGGCACCCATAAGCAGACAGCAACAACCCAAGCTAAAATATACAGATCAAAGTAAACAAGGTATGTCAGACTGAGAAGCTGTTTTGGATCATTTATATATATTATTTTATTTATGTTTTGATACAAAATAAAATGTACACAATATCTATGAAGTGTTTTTTTTTTTTATAGATTTCAATTAAATTGATTTATGATGTGGGGTCGTCAACGATGGCAACGACGGTCGGCGCGGTGATGATAGAGGCAACATCTAAGGTAAAATAGAACATACCCCAAAATATATTGTAACCAGAATACCTGTCCATCTGTGAAACAAACAAAACATAACATATAAAACACAGATAATTTATTTGAAAATTTTACGAGTAGGCATAAACATGATGTGAACAATAAAAAGTTTACAAAATGCAAGTAATTATTTCATCAATATAAATATTGACTTAAGTATTTTTTAAGCTTCTTTTGGGACAGCTTTCTTACAGCTTTTCAAAGCTGTTTTTTTGTACAAAAAAAAATTTTTTTTTACTAAAAAAACTGCATTAAGAAGTAACAAGAAAGCCGTTCCAAATGAAGCCTTAATTGAAATTATGAAATGATTTTTAAAAATTATGAATTTATTATGTTTTATTATTTGATTGAATGGCATTACAAATAACTATCATTTTAAAAAAATTTAAAAAATCTTTAGAAAATAAGAATTTTCTTATAACCAAAATAAATAAAAAACAAATCATCTTTTTTCTTTAATATATTATTTTATCTATAATTAAGAGTCATGAAACTAAAAGGTTAAATATTATTGCTACTCTAACCTATATAATATATTCATTGGTTGTCTTTAACTAAATGGAAAAACAAATTCTCTGATATGTTTTTTGATATATTTTGTATGAAGATTAGGGCTTCGTTTGAGGCGGCTTTCTTACTGTTTCTTAAAGCAGTTTTCTAGTATAAAAATTTTAAATTTTAAACTAGAAAGCTGTTTCAAAAAGAAATAAAAAAATCGTCCCAAACGAAGCCTAAGCTACTTTTGTAAATGTCTTTAATTTCACACTTATCTCATCCAATATTCTACCAATCCACATACAAAAAATATTGCAAATAGTGAAGGAAATTGCCTTACTCTGTATAATAATACAGATTAGAAGCTCCATCCACAACTAAGTCTGCAACTATCAGAGATACAAATATAATAAAAGCTACAATCCTGAAAACCAGTAGCCATGCTGGGTGTACTGTTCTAAGACATGGCCTCCAAGCTGCATCTTCTTCTTCTTCTTCCTCTTCACCATCTTGTTCAGAACCTTCATATTTCCAGATCATAATAGAAGCTACAGCCATTGTAAACATAACCAGTACAGCACAGAAGAAGAATCTCCATTTGAGCCAGTAGGAAAGCTCTGTAGTAACAGAACTCATTACAGGGCGCCATGAATTTCTAGAAGGTGCAGCTAGAAAATGCATTAGTACTGTATTTCTCTTTTGCAGTTTGCTTTTCAACTCTTCTAATCAATGTATTAGAACTTTATTGCTTGTATATAAATGTGAAATATTGCACAGAAAGCAGAATAAAATGTCTGGGATTTTAAGCCAATTGGCAAAAATACTTTGTAATCTTCTTTATTAATTTGTCATACTGTGAAGATATCATATTGTTCAAGGGCATTGCTAGGTCAAGAAAATTTTATTTTTATTATATTTTATTTTATTTTTATTGCTGTAGCAAGTATAGGTGTGAAAGGGAAGTGGAGGGAAAGATGGATCAAACAGGCTCCTTGGTTACAATTTGCAATTATTCAAAATATAAATATATTTCATTTTTTTTTACCGTTGAGGTTTCGAATTCAAGATATTTTTGTTAGTAGTCAAAGCTACAAACTAATAAATTTTATAAATTTTGGATGAAACTCTTAAATTTCGGGCAAAATTCTGCCGACATTTTAGAGCTTTGGTTGAAATTACTCAAAAATGTCGGCGGAGTTTTGCCCAAAAACTAATCAAAATTGAAAAATTTTGCAAATTAAGAGAAGAATGTAGTTGATAATTTTTACTATTAAAATCAATATTATAACCAGTAAAAATTATTTGAAGCCTACAACTCCAGACTTTTTCTTTTATTTCAAAATTTTCAATGTAAGAAAATGTCTCTTGAATGTAGCACCCAGTTTTTTTTACCCTAAAACTATTATTTTCTATAAAATTCCTTAATTAATTGTGCAATATTATGTCAAAATTTACCAAACTAAAAATAATAAAATGCCATGTATGATGGAACTATTCAATCACTTAAATTAAAAAATTAATTATCAACACAAGATAACAACAAATGAGTAGCACATGTTCAAATAATAGACTAAATATATACTTAAAAATGGAAAATATTTAAATATTAATGAACATGACATTAAAAATAATTTTCTTAAATATTTTTCATTCCTTAAATATATTGATATTTTTTATTTAAAAAAATCTAGCTTTTAATCATAAAATTTAAATATTTTAATACTTTTTTTTTCATTCTCTTACATGGCTTTTTTATCCAAATCTTAATATTTCAAATTTATTGATTATTTCATTAAATCATGAATCATCTAAATAAACTCCTAAAATAATGAATAATTATAAATTCCAAATTTAATACAAATAGAGTTGACTTAATAAACATATATATAGTAAATGCCAAGTATAATTGAATTATTCAATCACCTAATAAAATTTATATATATATAAAAAAGATTTCTTAATAAAAAAATGATCATCAATTACAAAACTCTTAAAAAATTAATAAGATATCAAACATATAGAAGCATTCCATGTATGATAACTGATTAAACCCATCAAAAATTAATAAAATGTCAAACATATAGAAGCATTCCATAGTTCAAATCCCATCAAATTAAAATTCAAAGAAATCACATCTTACATTATTGAATATGAATATAATCCATTGGAAACTTATGTGGCATAAAAATGGGCCATATCCCATACAAATAAGGCTATTAATTAGATTTTTTTTCAATTTATTCTAATTTAAGCTTTAAAATTTTGATGTGGTCATCCCTATTGCTAACTATAAGCATATCATAGATGAGGTGACTTAAATGATAGTTATCTAACTACAAACCTATAGAATGATCATTATTTCATAGGGGTTTTATATTTGGGGATGTTTATTGCTAAATATCATTTGCGGTAAAGACTGTTTGATAGTGATGATGCTAATGAACCTTGAATTAATAGGGTATTCTTACTTATAAATGGATCCCTTTGAGTATGATTTTTCATGATAGTGTCCATCATCAAGGATTGAAGCCTATGAATGTTTGTTATATTTAATAAATTAGCTACTAACAAATAAGCTACTAATAAATTAGCTCAATTAAAGCTCATTCATGATCATTTAATTAACTAATTGAACAAACGTATATTGCTTTTATAAATGCTCAATTAATAAATGAATAAGCTTGAACAACTTGGTGTTTAATTCATTTATGAGCATGAATAATATCAGTTAATATAGCTGGTGAACAAGTTCGCTATGAAGCATAATAATTAATATGCTTATTTAAGACTTGATAATAAATTTATTTAATATATGATTATGAGGGAGTATGTCTTTTTTATATTAGATTGTTTTTGTTCATGAACACAAGTCACCTGTTTATGCTAATTTAAATATTTATTTATTTAGTAGCTCATTTAATTAATTAAAGTCTTATTTTTAATCTCAATAGGTCACTCATTAATAGGTTCGATAAGGCTTATTTTTATAATCAACAAGCAACTTGATAATATTGCTCATTAATATGCTCAATAAGTATCTTAATTTTAATTACCTAATGAGTTGATCTCAAATGAAACTCAAATAGCCATAATTTTAAATAGATCGAGCTTGACCACTATTATAAATACTCAAGTAGAGCTTGAGCTCAAGCTTTGATTATGCCAAACAAGGATGTGTACTGAATCCTCAGGATAGTGCTCAAGATAGGTTATTTGACTTGAGGAAATTGAAGAATGATGGTAATCTCTTCAATTAGGATGATCTATGATTATATCCATCATTTGGATGGTTGGTTCCTCCTTCCCTTTGATGGTAATTTTTTCATGATAGCAAGATTCTAAAATGATAGTATTTAAGGTTAGAGCATTAATGTTAATATTGTACAAATGCTACAAGGACTAATGGCTATCCCTTCAATAGACATATAGCTTTGATTTTATAGGTGATTAGAAAAACAGTCTTGTAGATTTGTTGTTTGATTTTAATGGTACTTATATGGTGACTTTAACTTGAATGTAGGCACTTTGTTGATAAAGGCTATAAATATAGTAATATTGGAAGTCTTCTTGGTCTGGATTTACCCCACAAATTTAGCTTTAAAATCTTGATGAAGTCATCCTTATAGCTAAATATTAGCACATCATCTAAAAGGAACGATAGAAATACTAGATATCTAACTTCAATAATGTAAAATGCTCATAATTTGATTTATCAGACTAGCTCTATATATATTTGTTGGTCACCTACCAAACATCTTTTGAGGTAGAGCATCATTCAATGGAGTTAATAAGACTTGAATTCATAACATATTTTTACTTTTGCCCATCATCCCTGATTGAAGATCAATAATGCATGTTGTATTTCATTAAACTTTTTTTTTATTATTTTAAATTTGTGGATCCTCCCTTTGATTATGGCATTTGATAACTACGAACATCTTTAAGATGCAACTATCTTAAAATATTTTTCTTCAAAGGTTAAGTGCTTGTCTCTTTGATACATCAATGAACCCTTTGATTTATAGCAATTTATCTTGCATTCAATCGAAAGATAGAGAACCAACCCATATATATATATAACAACAACAACAACATCAAGCCTTTATCCCACTATGTGGGGTCGGCTACATGAATCATTTTTCTCCATTGTGTTCTATTAAAAGTCAAATTCTCGTTTAAATCTAATAAAGAAAGGTCATTCCTAATATTTTATAACCTAGTCTTTTTAGGTCTACCCCTACCTTTCTTAACTTAAGTCAAATCTAATACCTCTACTATCCTAACCGGGTCATCAGAAGGCCGCCGTTTTATGTGACCAAACATTGTAGATGGCACGTGCGTCCTGCACACACGTGCAACTGCCTATCTAGAAGTCTTGTGAGCATCTCAATGAGCCATCTTGAACAGTCCTCCTTTTAGGAACTGAGATGGTTAATCTATTAATGGCCAGCTGCAGGAGAAGCTGCACCATGACTATGACTATATGACTCTGAGTGGCTGATGAACACATATAAATGCATGTACATGCATGGATTTCCTCGGTTTTGATTACAAGATATATAGCATCTGCATATATTTATGGCAAGGAAAAGTAGGTGCCTTCTTAAATACATGACACAGACAAAAAAGTCCCAGCTCGCTCAGTCTCAGGCATGCATGCATGCATGATCATCATGGATGCATGCATGACTAGCTCTCCCAAAAATACTTGGTTTCATTTGGTAAAGCTTTTACTTTTTCACAAAAAAAATTATACTAAAAAGTTGTTATAGAAAGCATAGTAAGAAAGCTGTTCCAAATGAAGCCTAAATAATCATGGGCTGACCCACCTTAAGGCCAAGGAGACAATTGCCCCCTGCTGAAAAAATAAAAAAAATTATTTATTATATGATTCTTTAAGTTTTAAAATACTATGACCTTTATGCAATAGCCCAAACATAATTAATCACATTGTAAAAATGTTATTGTTAGATAGAGAACGATGAATCAAATGCGGTCAAATCCCGTCAGGGGGCGCTGCCCCTTAGACCCCCAACATATCTGTGAAGCGTACAACGGTGAATAAATAGGAGTCGAGAGGCAGCACCCTCGGAACAAATTTTGGCTCTAAGTATATTTATGAAAAAAATGCTACACCTTTACTTATAAATTTGCCTCCACTGAAAATTAAGTCTGGATCCGCCCCTGAAAAAGATGATGCACCTCTTATTAAAAAAAATGTATGCATGATGATGCATTGGAACTTACATATGATGTGCATGGGAGAGACATGATATATACAATATTGCAGAACTTGGCTGGACTCCATGCATTAAATTGCATTCAACTCAGCGCAAGTTGGCACCTTATTAATAACTGATGAAGCTTTTTTGTAGGGGAGAAGAGACAAATGTGCATATTTGGAAGCTAATACTATTGATGACAATATGGCATTCTTTCCTTTTCCAATACACTTCCTAGAAACATCCATATTTCAAACTGGGCTTCTTGTTCAGTTAATTAAGTCATCTATGGATGTCTCTTTCATTAGAAGAAGAAGAGAGAGAGGTCATATAGCTGTTCCCCTTAGTTATGGCAGAGGAGAAGAAGGTGGAGATTTAGAAAGGAGAAAGCTACAGATTGGGTCCAGTCTCTTTACAAGACAAATGCAGTCAGCCATGTTGTTTCCACACAGACTTCTATCAATGTTAAGAGAGAGAGAAGAGAGAGAGAGAGAGAATTGCTTGATTCCTTGGGGATATTGTAAATAGTTATTGCATGTAGCATTTGTGAAGTAGATAGGCAAATTAATTATCACTGATCTATTATTGGTGTTGAATTCTAAGCAGACTTTGAAGCTTTATATTACTGAAATTAATGAGATATTTTACTGAGACA